CCCCCCCCCCCCCCCCCCCCCAGTAGCTACATATTTAGGCCACATTCGTTCTACTTGCAAGACTGTTGGGGAAAAAGTAAAATAAACTCCACTTGATGACTTGAGGAGCTTGTCTTTGAGAAATGAGCCAGAGAAGAACATCATCTTCGTATAATTCTAAAACACTTAGTATTTTTTATATTCGAAAGAATGCACAGATTGGCAACTAAAAGGTGTAGGGCAAGGAGCATCATATGCATTCACTGTAGTTTTTCTTCCTTGTAATGTGAATTAAAGCCTGACAGTTGTTGGGACTTCGTGTTGGTTTTGTTGATGCTGGATTCTCGCATATGGTCTTCTCCTTGGCTTTTAAATATTATGGGCTGGTAATCTTGAAGCTGATACAAGAAAAATTAGGAGGTGCAGCTCTAATCATATCTACTGATATTTAAGTATCTAATAAATCTTCTGTTTAAAATCACTAGTAGACTACTGAACTAGCAAAAATTCAAAGCCTGAGGACTGAAATTACTTATTCAGGGTCTGAAACACACGTTGCTCCCAGTATGATGGTTTTGGCTATATAAAACAGTACAGACTCTTTGGGTCTCTTCTAGACTGGAAGATAAGCCCATAAAACTATCTGGAAATTAAGAATCTAAACCTAAATATTGCAGGAGACCTATAGAAAGCTTTATTTTTTTTTTAAATGTGACTAATTTTATAATTAAAGATTAGGCAATGCAGGTAGTAAACTCTTACCCATACTCATATGTAATGCTCTTTTGGTTCAGAATTAGTAAGACACTGGCACAACTATAGGCCAAATTTATTTACCTTGAGTATGTTGCTTATGGTTTTGTAGATTGCAGCTGTTGGGAGTCTGTCTGGCTTGGAAGCTTGTCAAATCAGTGTATAGAAATAGTTCTAAGAGCTTTATTTTGTATATATTCTGATTTGCACTTCAAGCATATAAACTGCAGCTTGACAGTTGAGGGAAAATACGTAGTTGGAAACTTTTAATTGTGTCTGCATCCAGTATCTTGTTTTGTATGGACAAAGAGACAAATTCACAGAAAGTTTCTCCTCTGGATGCTCATGCTCTGCTTAGCCTGAGTACAATGCCCACTAGAAAATGTAAATGAGAAAAAAGGAATCCCCTTACATCTGTGGATCCTCTGTCCCCTTCCCAAATTTGATATGGCCCCTGTTAAACAGCAGAAGGTTGAAGATCTGCTCCTAGTCATTTGTTCAGATATCTCAGGCTTGGGAGCCTCAGGATGCTCTATGAAATAAATCTTAATTTATTGTGATTTGAAAAGAGCAACTTTGGAGATAAATATTAAGTCTTGGCAGGATGCAAAGGAAATGTTGCAGTATCAGAAGGAAAAAAAAAACAAAACAAACAAAACCAAGCCAACTCATGAAGTGCTGCAGGGGGCAGCTCTAAATCTATTAAGAATGAAGGTCTTGTTGCAGCAGTAACAGTAATAGCTGTGCTACCGTGGCATAACTCTTAGCTCTTTGGATTAGTTTAGTGCCAGGGCTGGGTCAGAGGCATGGCATAAAACTGTGTTGGATGTGGAACATGTGCGTTAAAGGGCGGTAAAATTTTCGACCTGCCACAGCCATTTCTCACTGTAATCTTAATGCATCTCTTAACTTGCAACTTAAGTATTTGAAAATTGTACAACGAAGGTAGGAGGAAAAAAAAAATAATCAAACCAACAGTTTAAGAACGCCAAGCATCAGCTTTCAAATGAAAGCTGTTACTCTGTTTTCAGAATTTTTTTATGGGTTGTAAGTCTTATTAATACATAGTAACAGTCATGCTTCAGACAGAAAAAAGCCACCTTTGTCTCCTAGTGGAGAATGTTACTCTACAGTGACTTAACTTACAACAGTTGTGCTGCTTTGCTTCCGAGTAGCAGTTGTAACATACCTGTTCTGAAGGTTGCAGAGCTCAATGTACGTGTTACTGTAAAGGTTTATCTTAGAGCAGCACTCCCTGTGTTTTCTCTGTAAATCTCAGGAGTGTTTTTTTACTCTGTTCGTTGGCTTCCTCTCTCCTGTACGAAATTCAGAGTTCTTGTGTGTACCTTGAAGGGCATGCAGAAGTCAAACAATGTAATGTCAGTCTCTGGTTTTTTTTTTTTTTTTTTTTTTTTTTTTTGTCATTGACTGTCTTTGCTGCCTTCCATGGGGCTTCCATGTTACAGAGTCCCTGATGGATCCTGTTTTATAAAGAAGCACAGTGATTTCATTGAGTTCCTCACACACATGTATGTTCAAGTGCTAACCTTCTTCTAAACAAACCCCCCTGAATTCTCCAGGTTTCTGGGGGTACTGAATGCTGGAGATTGCTTTTTCAGTGGTCAGGACAGCAAACTCTACTCCCTTTGCCAGCGTACAGCTGTGTATGTTCTGCTTCAGATATGTACAGGGGAAGAAGGTGCTGTCTTACTTTTAGATGATCTGATGCAAAATTAAGTTGAATTTTGTTTCCTAAGTGTTTCTTCTTAATGGGAATACATCTGTTTACTTGTAACACTAAGTAACAAGTCTGTCTATATGCAGCGTAGGGTGGCAGCTGTCAGGGGAGGAATGGCTCCATAGTCCTGAAGCAGACCACAGTTAAAAGTTATTTAATGGTGACAGACACATCAAACAAGGCTCTGTGTATTCTAAAGTTCCTGTCTTAACTTTCTTAAAATGCTCTTTCTTTCAGCTAACCAGTTGCCAGCAGGCTTAATAACTACAGATGGCCAACAGCAGAATGTTATGGTCTATACAACATCGTATCAACAGGTACTGTAACCCATCCCCTACTCTCCCTTCTGCTGCTAAAATTCAAATGCTAATTCAGCTGCCCTCTTCTGGAAGATGAGAATGAATTTTATTTAGTCCTTTGGTGGTGGCTGTCATGACATTCCAACACTGTGACAATTCAAGGCTGCTAGCTGCAACACAGTTTCAGAAAAGGTGCATTTGAATGTAAGCTTGCATTTTCTTTCTCTAGATCTCTGGTGTTCAGCAAATTCAGTTCTCATGATTTGAAGAAAACTTTGTATCTGGGAACACGAGACAGAAAAGCTGTGCAACTCTAACGAAGAGGCAGTTTTAATGACTGGTGAAGAGATTTATCTCTTTGTATATTAAATAGCTGTAATGTAGCTACCAGAAGCTTGACTAATTGAGGTGTGAGTTCTGACTCAAATCTTTTTCATGATGATTTTAAAAAAAATTGGATTTTAAAGGTATTAAAGTATTTTTGTTTTGTACAAGAGTTTGTTGCTCTGTATAACTCCTGTATGCATTGTATATTGCAATTTATTACTGTCAGAGATTTGTAGACAGTTTCTTATTTTCATATTGAATCATGTTACTTTTGTAATTCAGGTAAACAGCTGGGTTAATTCATGTTTACCCTTTGAATAAAATTGTAAGGGTAAAGTTCATTTTTGAATGCAAGTTGCCTTTATTATAAAGATTGAGTTGGTCTTGGTTATGTAACTTGTCTTGCATGACAACCTCAACTAACTTTACATGTCAGCATATTTATTGAAATTTTGAAAGGGACTTTTTCCTCATGAAACTAGCAGCTCAAAAGAATTGCTACAACTGTTTTTTTAATGTAACTTCAGAATTAAAAGTTAATCAAAAACAACCAATGCTCTACTACATTTAGAGACTTTGAGCTTATCAACAGTGTTGATGAAAACACTCACTGTGTGTGATGCAGGTCTTCATTTCTTCTTTTTTTCCCCCAGATGAATTAACTCTCTTTAGACTTACTTTGATATATTTCAGGTAGTCTTTGTGCTACTGAAATAACCCTTCCTCTTTATGTATGGTTTTTAGAATCCAAAACTTAGAAGTTCAATGGTAGTGAGGGTGGGAGGGATTTTTATAGTCCTTGTGGTAAAAGATCTCATTTTAACTTTTTACTGAAATGTTTTAAGGTTTCTTGTGAGACTGTGTGAGCTCAAATGTGTTAGCGACTTTTTGTGTACAGGCTGCGTGCATGTGTGAGTGCATGTGTGACAAACTTGAACAAGTGATACAAGTCTGAAATGGAAGACAGACTTCTAGTTTGCTCTCTCTTCCCTGGTTTTGCAATAAACTCTTACCTAGGTAATGTAGTTCTGTATATTTAGTGAGATGTTCTTAGTAACATTGCTGTTTCTTTAATAATTGGGTGGGTAATTTTGTTAGATGCAATGTCTTAGCCTGTTAGGATAGGGATGGTGGTTTTAGTAGTTTATCTTAATCAGACTGAATTTTGGGACCTTGGATATTTTTACTGTTTGCAGTGGACTGAAATGTAATATAATAATTATCTTTCCACATACCTGTCATTAATTTAAGCTACTACACCTTGAATCTGTTGACATATCATTTCTTGCAGATTTTGTCTTTTTTTTTTAAAAAAAAAAAAAAGTAACAGTTTAATATTGGGAAAATAGCTTAAACTAAGACATCCCAGAAGCCTGAAATAGCTAGTTCTTTGCTAAACAAAAATTTTATGTATGTGCAGATTTCAACAGTTTCTTACAAATCATTATCATGCTGGCAGATCCTCTGGAGACAATCCAGTGTATTCTGTGGCGATCTGGACGGATGTGCTGGGTTTTGTGGCAGTCTGTCATTCTTCAGCAGCTATGACTGAAAAAATGGAGTTTTTCATTAAATGTAAAACTGAATAACACAATCCCTACATGAGCCCCTTCTGTTTGTATTCTGTTTATTTCAGGCCGTCATACCCTGTTCTTGATGTTCCCGGATTTGCAATGGAAAAAGCTGTGATCTCGGCTAAGGAGAAGCTAGGAGAGATCTGGCAGTTCAATGTGCAGAGAGGGGGCTGAGGTCATCTGACACATTTGGTTGAAACCAGCTACATTTTTTAGTTATAGAATCATAGCATGGTTTGTGCTGAAGGGATCTTAGAGACCATCTAGTCCCAACCCCCTGCCCCGGGCAGGGACATCTTCCACTAGCCCAGGTTGCCCAAAGCCCCGTCCAACCTGGGGCAGGCACAGCTTCTCTGGGCAACCTGTGCCAGGGCCTCACCACCCTCACAGGGAAGAATTTCTTCCTTAGATCTAATCTGAATCTACCCGCTTTCAGTTTAAAACTTAACCTTACCACTACATGCCCTTGTAAAAAGTCCTCCAGTTTGCTTGTGGTCTGCTGTCTCTTCTGTGAGTTTAGGTTAAAGTATTTTGATTTTGAGGTTTACATACCGTCACGTGAGCAAAGAAGCTGATACTGCTTCATTTTTCCTTTTCATTTTTCTTTCTCTTCCCTCTCACGCCCCCAAGGTCCAGGGGCAAAACTGCAACCAGCTTGCTCATTCACTTCCTGAAAATACACATGTGGAAGTAATGGTATAACACTTTAATCTCTCTCTGAAAATATTTACCTAATAAAGTTTGCAGGGTACTATAGTGCTGGTAAAACAAATGTGGTCTGAGGAAATACTTGCCTAATTGATACTAATATTAGCAACAACCATTGTGGAGTCTTTATTTTTGTTTTAACAACTTATAAGTGTTCTCATGTTTCTCTTTGTAAGTACGTACTCAAGGTTTAAAAGTAACTTAGACCCAAACCATGAGCAACCATTTCTGCTCTATCCCATTTGCTACAAAACTGCAGTCTTTGGTTCTCTGACTGTTTTGTTTGAACTGACATAACCCCAAATTGAGCTTGCGCTGAAAACAGCTGTGGCAGCCTATGCTAAAACTTGGAGAAATACTGCTTGAAATAGCAGTGATGTTCAAAAATATTTTTCCAGACACAGTGACTTTTTTTAGGTGTCTTTCCATGACAAGCACATTTTACTACATTAATTTTCTTAATGGATTTTTGTGTGATTTGATCTTTCTGATCTATCTTTCTAGAGTGGTCGTGGTTATCTTTAAAAGCACCAAAATATTTATCTCTAGTCAAAATGCTGTTAGAAGGAAAAGCTAATTTAGATGGTGCTCTTCTACATCCCATTTTCATTACAAGCTTAATGGGAGCTGAGGTTTTGCCTTTACCAGTCTTGCTGTTGTACATATGTATCTTTACTATTTATTCCTCTCTTCTGATCTCTACTGAATGCTAAAATACATGGCTGGATAGTGTAGCCAGAACACAGAGGGAGTCTTGGCATGAGGTGGCACATCCTAAATATCTACTGACCCGTGCTTATCTGCCTGTAGCTAAAAATCAGTCTGAATTACATGGGCTATGCTTTAAATAGCCATCATCCTTGAACTGCACCCTGGGTATGCTGTGAATCACGTCAGATTAGTAGATGGTCCCTATTGCAGAGTTTCAGAGTTTAACCTGTTGTAAGCATATATGGGTGGTTTCTCTCTTGCCTTTGGCAGGAGAGGAAGCTTATGGGCAACTGTACGTGTACCGGAGATTCCTCAGTGCAAAGCAACACGGAGAGCCAATGGCTAGTGTTAATCCCCAGCACCTTGCTGTCACGTGAAGAGCTGGCAGCAGCTATGCTTATAGCTATAAAATTCTTCATTTTGCAGAGCTTTGAATGTGATTAATGTTCTAGTGAAGTCATGCAGACTTGCTGCTTCAGTTACATTTACAGCAATAACACAACTTGCTTTTAAGCCACTGCATTCCCAAATGGTGCAGGCTAGACCTTTTTCTGTTTTGATTTGTAACAAAATAGAAGGAGGAAAGTTTTTCACTTAAATTTGAAGTGAATTTTCTTATGTTTACAGATGAAAAAGAAAACCCTCTGTGTTGATTCTGGGGTGAATAATGCTATAGGGAATCTATATAGGGCCCAGGCAGACCTGTAGGAAGAAGTTAAATATTAATAATATGGACAACAGTTGCTCTTACATTCTCTTTCCGATTGGTTTGGTGAAAAGAGCAGTGGTGGAAGGATGCCTTTTGGCTGTGGTACAGTTTAAGACGTGTACCCAGTTGAAAATATGGACCACTTTCTCTTTGAAAACAAAAGACGTTGTTCTGGCATAATCATTCACACTTCCCACCCTTTAAAAAAGCTGAAAAAATCATACTTAAGCAACAGAATGTCGATCTGTTTACCTATTGATTTGTGAAATTGGCATGATAATCGACTGCAACATCACCTTTGACCCTCAGGATGTCAAAATTTAATAGAAAGCTCTCTAGAAGCTCTGTGCCAGTTGAGCTTGCACTGACATCCAAGGCTGAACGCTCTTGGAGGGAAGGCAGCTTGTCCCTACACACAACAGTTTCCAAATTAGTGCCAGCTGCATCGCCTGTCTTAAATTACAGCCTCCAAGTGTGGCTGTTGAGCCAGGGGGGTGGGAGGCAGTGCACAGCAGCTTGGAGGGAGTCGGCCACATTGCTTTAGGAAATCTTCCAGGCAAATTGCCAGGGTCGTATCCGGGAATATTTTACTGCAGCAACTGGGCCAGAGGATCCCTTATCAGGAGCAAAGGCACCTGATTTGCTTTTTTATGAATGAAAACTACTGAGGGTTTCAATCTGCTGGGCAGATCTGTGTGTGTCAAATACTTAATCTAGCCCAGCCCATACAGTGTCAGGAGTGGCATCTGACTTTCAGGACAGAGCTGCCTGAAAGAGTTTGGTTTCTGGCTCACAAACCACAGTGATGCGTGGCCCACCCCCAGAAGGCACATCAACGACAGTGCATTGCAACCAAAGTTTTAGCAGCAATTTACTCCTGGTCATAATGGGGCCTATTTTTTG